ATGTTGTTTGTTAAAATAAATTAACACGAACATACCTCGATTGCCTTGATGTTGATATCAGCTCCCTTGTCCATCAGCAGTTTGATGATAGTCTTCCTCTTGTTGGCGTCAGTGTTCATAACGGCCAGGTGTATAGGATACAAACCAATCTGTAATTACATAGTGTATACGACGCTTATCCTGCAGATATTCTATTTCACCCGTGATTTTTAAGGTGGTGACTATATATTTTTATTCTCTTTTTTTTGTGTCTCCTCGAATAAGGGATTTTGGTCGCTTTATATCAAATTTGATGTCCGATTTATTAATGTGTCTTAAAGCTATGGTACATATGTATGTATTTATATATTATGTAATTTAAGTAAAATAATACTACATTATTTCTTCACGTTTTGTTCCTGACTTTGAGTAGCGAATACATCAAAAGCTATCCATGACGAAGATGATACCTTGTTCGTTTGTGAAACAAAATTCATTTAGCACAACCAATAAGTGTTTATATGTGACGTTTCGATGACTAATACGATATGTACTCTGTCACTTTCATCAGAAAAGATACCTCGTTTGGCTTGTTAACATCTACGTTGGGATCATTGAGTGCAGCCATAAAATCATCGTCCCCCTCCGCTAACTCCTCCAGATCGCTCTCGTTCAGCGACTACAACATCAGTTTAGGTAATAGCAATCAGTAACTAAAAGTACTCATTAATTTAGTGTACCTCGAGAAGTAAGCGTTCATCGACGGATTAATACATTTTATAAGTAAATATTACTTCATCGAGGCTCACATCGATAAATCATTGATCATCGTCAAGTTGTTATACATGGCAACGTAACTATTACATCAAATCTTCAGCATATGAAGCAAACTGATTTATCAAAAACTTAAGCAATTTTTGAACTTAGAATTTCTCATTTGATGATATTACACTTTCACTATTACAATCCTGATAACAAGAGCTACTTTGTACCCTTATCGACCAGTACTTACCTCTGACATTGCTGATATACAGACTAACAACATTATAGCTAGTAACGACATTACGCTGCTTCACAGACATAGAATATGTTTATAGCGTCATTGTTTGATTTGAAATGCATCAAAGCGGAAAATGTACTATTTTTTTCCAAATGTATTTAAAACGCAGTTGAAATTGATAGCAAACGCTACAATGGTATAACTGTTTATATTGATTAGATTTCAATAAGGATACACTGTATTAATAGAATCTCACTTGTATGTCAACAAGAAATATTAGTAATATGTCATGCATACTCGCTGGTTTGTTACGGGTTGATGTTGATCACAGGTTCCTATATAATTATCTTATTTGTAACCAACTAAAATAATCATTTGAAATTCAAAGACTGAGTGGGTTTTTTAGAATTGTTTTCATGTGAGTCTTGAACATCTTTTTAAAAAAAATTGACGAGATTAAAAATTAAGAGATGAAGTGAGTCCCAAAAATCACGTGAACTATGTGTATAAATCTATAATCAGAGGTTCCCATCATGAGAGAGTGATAACTGCAGAAAACAGTACAAAGTCCATAGTTATATGGAACAATGATGAAATTATATAGAAAGAGAACCGTCTTGCAAAAGGACAATATTTGTTAGTCTAACTATAGTCGTATACAAAACTTTGCCGGGGAATAAAAATTCTTTATCATTTATTATGTTCAACATAATGTGGTGTTCATTGTTAAATAAATATATTAACCTATCGGTAGGTACATTATAATAGGAGCGAATGAAGCGGGATCCTCCGTCTACGAGTTACTCTTACCATATCAAAATTCACAGAAATCATCACACAAAACGATAAACAGAACAGGAAAATAAACACAAAAACGAAGTTAGGTAAACGTCTCAAGTGCTCAATACACACAACACAGTGGACTTAATTGTGTCCAGAAAACAAACTGTCAGACAATCCACACGAAACTATCAACCACACCCTGGTGAGAAGAGACGTGCTTCTGTTGGAAGCGGTCGTGAACATACAGTGAGCATGCTGCAAGTGATAGAAATGAACCACCGATTCTAGTACAAGGTCGCTAAATGGGAACCTGGCTCTTGAATCAAATCTAATTTGAAAAACCATTTGTAATGTTCGTAACAAAATATTATTTTACATGCAGATAAATGAATTCATTTGCTTTGAAACTTATTATTGTAGTAAATATGGACACATTTTTCAAGAAATGTATTGTTTTTAAGAAAGATAATTGAGATTTTGATTGAAATCTAATGCTGTTACATGAAATCGAGATTTTGTTAAACGGTAAAAAACTTATTTCAAAAGGAGTAATAAGTAGTCATTATATCGAAAACCAATGTCTTATTTATATTGCCATTTTTGCGTCTTCGACAAAACCCATTTCTAATAGTTAAAAAATTAGAGTTAAAGGCGATCATATCGTATTTATTCTGACAACCGTACAAATACCAGTTCACCAAACCAACAAATCTCCCTAAACCATGTACACCAAACACATTTTTTTCTGGATGACACGATTCCGTGTTTACCCCTCTGCCTGATCAAGATGTTTTACAATTCAAACGATTCGGACTCTCTCCATTACCAAATTACCTCACTATCCACGTTAAATTCCTGAACGAAAATCCAACTATTATTAATGTCTAATTAAAATATGGCTTCAAACATGTAGATTTCTAAGCCATGTACAAACAATACATATCAATGGTAACGACCAAAGTTCTGGATTTTTTCATAAATACAAAACCAATTATTTAATACATTCGTTCTTTTAAATGGTAACAGGAAGAGATTGAGTAATCGATTGATGTAGGAAAAAAACTCATTTAAACAAACGTTATCATACATCGTAACGAGCAAAAGTTGGGTAACTCTCCAATAAATACTGTATTCCGTCTTTGCGTATTGCAGAGTTATCTTCTCTTGGGAGCAGGTATTGATTGTTACGTCATTGGTTTGTGTGAGAAAATTACGTCGTTTTCTCAAAAATTGATGACGTTACTCTCACAAACAAGTGACGTAACAATCAATACCTGCTCCCAAGAGAAGATAACTCTGCAATATGCAAAGACGGAATAAACGAGCAGAAGATACACAAAGCCAATGTATACAAAGTGTACTCTAAATGTCTATTAGAACGGGATGGGTCATTCCCGAAAATCAAAGCTAACACAAAAATGTTCTCGAACGAGTAACGGACAGTGATCGGGTCATCCCAATAGATATATATAAAAAAAACCACTTCAATAGTAACCAGTGACACCGGTTCATTCCCGTTGATAATAATTATGTTCTAATAATAACGAGCAGGATTCGATTATTTCAATTGATATCCAAGAACAAGAAAGAACACAATGCATGCGATTATTTTTAATTGACAAGTGAACACATCTTTTTGTTTTTCGCTCGCTAAACAATCTTACTTGAATATCATCCATCTGTAATAGAACACACCAATAATTATCCTATCTGTGTAAGTCTGTTTCTGTCCATCGACCCAGTACACAACGTCAATATTACCTTAACCGCTACAGTTGTGTATGATGTTAGTTATAGAATAAACACAGTATGTCAACTGTAATTATCCGAATTGAAGATTAAATTCGTTTTCAGTAACATAGTAATATAAAATGCTAAAATGACTGTAATTATATGGTACTCTCAGGTACCAGATACCAGGCATTGCTTCGCCGAAAATCTGAAAATGTTTTAATTGTTATTTTTATTTATTAGAACGTTATTCTTCATAATTTGTTGACACTGGCCTTTTATGGATCGACATTTATTTTTTTATTTAAAAGCTATATCAAAAATGACATCGACTTGGACCAAGACAGACATCTGCGGGCTGACTCAATTAATAAATTCATTGAATTGGAATCGTCATATATCTTCACGTGGTATACCTAATGTTGTCCTTCCAGTGCAGTGCTGCTACGGATAGACATACGAAGAATGGAAACCACTCTATATTGTTAGTATCCCGTCACCATTGCAAAACATACTAGGAAACAAAGTCTACTGCTTATATTTCAAATGGAACGAAATTTTGTATGTTTAGTAAAAGTTTATTAATTGGAAACTTCCAAAAATTTTAGTGTTTCTGAGCTTACTTTAAATCCATAGTTTACCGTTTGCTTTCAAAACTGTATCTATGAATATCACTTTTAACCAAATTAAGAGAACGTACCTCTTTGCTTTTTTAAATCGCTTAAAAACGTGTGAAAATAGATAAAACAGGTAAGTAGGTGACGTACAAAAACAAAACTGAACACGTATTTGATTGATATTCTGTAGATTATGAGTTGTGTATAACTGATCAGTAGACAATTAACAACAGGGCGTCCCACACTCCCTACACCAGACATTACCTGATAATCGTCCTGAAAAACAAGCATACCTTTCTTGTCAATATAACTCTTCTGATTAGTAATATTACGCTAATATGCACGTGTAGACTCCATACGAGATAATCTAGCACGTGATGTGAAGTAATACGTGAAGTAGATAAGTATATATCAAGTTGAGTATGTAGTAGCTACACGTAATAGAAAAAGGATAGCATGCAATAACACCATAACTAAAACATGCATAAAAACTATACATTATCAAACATGCAAGAACTTTTTTAGAAATATATAAGAAAGTAATTAAAATATTATAAATAAAAGAAAACAGATTCATTCAAAGAAATAAAAGAAAACGATAAAAGCATAAACCACAACCATGTTTAACTGTTAGTAGCGCGTGCATTGCATGTTATGTAGGAAAACACGTGTGTGCTTTGAGGAGGATCAGATGGTACAAAAGGAAATATCAAATTTGACATTTTAGTAATTCTTTCATTTAAGTGTCAGGAGGATATGACGCAGAAGACGCGCATGCGTATGGCGTGATTTCTATACCTCCTCGGGTGGTGGATCGGGTGTTGGAGGTGCTTGGGGTTCCGGTTCCTCTTCAACTTCAGGTTCTGGTTCCTATGGTGATCATATGTAGTCTTTATATATCACATATAATATTTGCATATATGATACCCTGCTTATGATTGTATTTGTCTTCCTGCAGTATGCTACTTTCCGCATACCATATTGGCGTGTGTTGTACGCTAGTCGTATGTATGAATGTGTTAATGAGTTTAGCATGACATATGTATCAATATGCTTGAAGGAATATACTAATGAGTAAATGCCAGCCTGCCGTATGAATGAATATGCTAATGAGTATATTGCCAGTCTGTTGCATGTAAACGTTTATGAATGTAGTCATTTGTGGTATTTACGAGTATTATGTCAGTTCGTCATAAACCTGGGTATGATTCTGTGTGTTGTGTCAGTTTGCCATGCCGTATTGTCAGGGTATTGAGCATTAGCTTCAATTCTATCATTAGTGTAAATTGAATAAAATGGCAACGAAACGCGCATTTCGTTTGACGTGTTCTGAAAAGGAAATATAACAGTCTACTGACCTGAAATAAACGCCAAATATAAATTAAAAGAGGAATATATAATCAACATCACAAAAAGTAACGGCAAGGTAACAAAATACAATATATATTTAGTATGTATAATCTAGTCTTTCCTAATCATGAATGCTGAGTAATTTATATAAGGAACAGAAATGTGATTTAGAATGCTTTATGAATTCAATAGACAAGTATAATTCCTATGAGGTAAAGTAAATATGAGGTAAGGAGAATGTAAGCTTGTGTCGATATGATTTAAGGAAGGTGAGTGAAGAAGTAGGCAATTAATATGAGGTCAGGTAATTTATGAGGTATGGAGGTTGTGAGGTTCCTCGAGAAGTATTTTGGATAGTGAAACTTATACAAAACAATGTCTGTGAATAGTAAACCTTCACCAATCACTCTGGTACTCTAACTAGTTGATCTATGTGATGGAAGGTAACCACGAGCTCACGTGGATACAAGTTTCTCTAAATAAAAGGAAGCTACATAAAGAAAAACAAGAACTTTATAAGATCGGTAATGATGAGGTATGAAGGTCATTAAGTTCTATGATTTCAGTTTAAAAATTATTTGTATATTTAGTAGGAAGTGACGGGAGAATTATAATTCCTGTTAAGAAAGGACGTGAAAACCTGGATGTGATGTATGGAGCAGAGGTGATACAAGTGAAATAAATATATGTAACGACCAGGATGCTTTGGATGGTGAAGCTAAAATAAAACGTCGGTAATAAGTTAACATCCACCAGCCACTATGTTGATAGTATCCACCATGCAGTCTCCAATTAACAAACAAGTACCTCAACTTTCGTTGGTCGTTATTGGCGTTATCTCTTTTGATTCCTCCACGATTTCAACGACAGGCAACTCGTGCGGATCCTTCATTGTTATCATATGTTATGATCATATGTACTATGTACCTGACATCAGTCGAAATGTACTTAAACAACATTGTAAGTATTCTTGACAATGAGAGGTCGAGAAGTATTGTAATTCGTACACCATAACTAAGGACCTGTGGTCAGTAATGGGCAACAGTTATGACTGAGATAGAAACAGAAAACAGTTACATATTTTATATCCAAAAACATTAAATTATATAGATATCAAGAACGAGGACATCGCCAAGGGATCAAAAAATAAAAATTTCCGTGCAAAGATATTAATCCAATCAGAAACAATCCATGCAATATCCAGGGAAATTCTCTTTTAATAGAGAATAATAGATAGAAACCGAGAAACGAGGAACTAAACAAACGTGTGAAAACAATACTCATGCGTATAACATCAGAAGAGGATAGTAGCATGCTGTTTTGTATGAACTGCAATTACCGCAGCTCCGAAAGAAGCAACAACTGTCCAAGTAAACAGGAAGACCGTCACCAATCTAGAACAGGGGTATGGCATGCTTAAAGTTGACGATCGGTACCTCAGTGGTTGATAGTTCTGCCATAGCTTTCATTGGGTCTTTGATTACTTCAGGTTCCTGCCTATCCATTGTTGATATTGAAGACATAGTTCCAGCTGATTCTTCTACTACTTGTTCTTTGTCCTTTCTTTGTGATTGGGATGAGCCAGCATCCATTGATTCAATAACTTCCGGTTCTGTATTTGCGATTTGTGACTTTAAAGCTCCAGCTTCCACTGATTGCATAAGTTCCGGTCGTTTGTTCCTAATTCTTGTGTGTGGTGACACATCCTCCAGTGGTGTTTTTGAAATTTCCGGTTCTTCTGTCTACATGTACATGTGTGAAAATGATTTTGCAACACTATTTTTATTGTACTTAACCCAACAAAGTATGACTACATCACAAGATGTAAAACAAATAGTATTAAATATCTACATTAAAAATATTTACGATGGTAATGCGAAACTGTGAAATAAAGTACTGTATATTATAAGCAGCCACAACCACTAGGACATTGTATTTCTATTCATATGAAATCTTTTTCAGTAAATTGTTTAAGATTTAAATGCCACTACTAATCACCACAACTTTAGAATTGCATATTGTACGGAAAAAAAAGACATCCACTGCAAGGTATATGAAATGTACAAGCTAGAACTAAGGATACACAGGATCAAATGCACGTGCATTAAATGAATGTTTGCTCTTCATTAATGGATCATCACCAAAACTAAATGCATAAGGGAAATTATTTTTTAAAAAAAATGTCTATGTACACTTGTTCGAGAATAGTGAAGATGAACGTTAGATAAACACATGTAATTGCACCAAAACATTGGGCGATAAAACAAAAGAGTAAAATGTTTATATTATGAACCGTGCTGAATGATAATTGTGACCGGCACACATTGGGTAATGAGATATCCACCAGCAGATTCTACCAAATATTGAACAACGAACTTACGACATACAAACGTTATTGCACTTGTCAAATTTGGTAATAGATACAGTTTATCAATATATATTTTTTTAAATGGACCATACATCTGTTTAGTCTATGTAAGACTCATAGGCGATGCTAGGGCCAAAACGGTGGAAAACCAACTCGGTCTAACCTACTGTTGACACACAAGGGAGATGAGCTAAATTCTTTAATTATATGAATTTCAAACGTAAGACCAGTGCTGGATATTATTTACATTAATTATGAGAACAGGGCTTATATTATGAACCGTGAAATTGCTCAAAAGAGATAAATTTGATTATGAAGGTTACGATTAAACTCGGGGACTACCATATCCACCAGCAGACTTATCATCATGTGTCTTGATTTATAAACCTAGGACACACACAACGGGAACCTAAACTATTACCAGCCAATAACATCACCAACGTTACTTATGTAATATTCTACAAACACACGAATACAAGTAAAAAACCCAGTTAAAACAGAATACTAAACAGTAGTCCAGCAATAGAGGATATAAACAAACTTGTTACACAGATATTTACAGCGTAAAATAACGAGCCATGCACATTCAAGTTCTTAAAAAATTGAAAACGTTTTCTAAAAATAGAAAACCGAGATCCAAAAATGTGATAATGACTTTGCTATATAAATATAAATCGTCTTTGAATAGGGTAAGGCCCAGCATCCAATAAACAAGAACCATGCAATACAAAAAGAAAAAAAGTATATGCCATATGCCGGAGATGAATAAACGTATATAGGAGGAAGCGGGTCGCTCAATCACAGTGATTGCCTTACCAAAGGGATATTGTTATAGTCAAAGTCTTCCTCTTTGTCGCCCTCTTCCTCTTCCTAAAAACAGTACATTACAACACATATACGGAGTACAGTGTAACATAAATACGGAGAACAAAAAGGTTTAACACGTACATGGAGCAAACAATCTAACACATTTTCGCGAAAAATAATTTTCGCGACAGTTGCTTCAAATGACATTTCGACTGCATATCAATATGCAAAAAGAACTTTCCCATATACTCTTGGTTTTCGGTATATATTCATGAGTAAACGTTCCTAATGTTACGACTGTCTTCACAAGTTACAGCGAAAACAAATATGTCCCTGTTATATCCATCTCTTATAATCTTGCTGCCCTGCTATTATACGAGATATTTATAGACTTTTTTTTCAGCTTTTAACAATCTGGATTTTAGCAGTGATTTGGATTGGCTGAATAACCGAGTGGTTTACAGTTCATACACATTCAGTTACACCAATCATTTTATGGCGCATCCCACTTAGCTCAATCTTCTCGTGATTATGGAATCTAGGGCCGAATAGCATGTTCGATTTAAGGGGTATATAACGCATTAGACGTCCAGCTGATAAAAAATATCGTCAATGCATCTGGCTTGTACCTACTGAGCACACGTCTACTGACCTATATCTAGCTTTATACCACCAGAAAACATTACCCAAACTGATAAATATTCCGTACCCACTGCAATAAAATATCAATTAGGTCAGTGATGAGAAGGATGCTAAAATAACTACAAAGAATGAACATAGTGATATCCATGATGGTGGCATTGGAGTATCACAAATAAACACGTCATCATGATAGGAATGAATAACAAACATTACTTCAGTAAGTATATACATGTAATAGGTTATATATTGATGAGTAAGCGTTTATATGAAAGATGATTATTATAAATCGCTTCGGTTCCATCTGGTCCATTAATCATTGGTAGCAAATGACATCCAACAGAGGCCAGGTATGAGCCATGTGATACTTGTCAAGGTCAAGGCACCGCTTTATTTATGATGTCGGGTTCAGTAACAAGATAAAGTTAAGAACTGAATCAATATGTATGCACATTTGTAAATGTTTTTGTTTGCTCCAAATATACGCAACGAAGCATTGTAGTTCCTTGATAAGTAGTACTTTTTGCGCGCGCAGTCACACAAAACATGTTAATATAATTTAGTCACACACCTTAACTGATGTTATCTAGTCACACCTGTAATATTAATAAAAATAATTTCACATTTGGGATTAAAAAAAATAACATTTCGTCAAAGTTCACAAACAGCAATGGTGGATTAATGCACGGCAAATTGTTGGAGTGTTACAAGGTCAGGGTTAAGGTCACAGGTTCCTCGCCTCACCTCGAACGCAAGACTAACACTCGAAGCGTTGTCCTCCTCATCCTCATCATGGTCTTTCAAACCTGCCTGCAACAACTCCATTTCCGCCATCTCTTCCATGTCCTTTGGGGTAAACGGTTGTATGTAGTTGGCATATCTAGTTCTCAGTGTAAGCTTATCTGGTAACCTTTCTAACACTTGCACGTGTGACAATGTTACGATATTGTTACCTTCATATATCCTTCTACTTGTGATAATGTTACACCATTTGTTTACAGGATAACCATCAGAGAGACATTCATTTTTGCTGACATAACACTTATGTTCTTCTGATAACCTTAGAAAGCTGTACTAAACCTTTAAGCCGGGGTTTTCACGTCCACGCAACAGCTAAGGTTGTATGGGAATTGCTTCCTATTGAGACACCCCCGAAAAGATAGAAGGGAAATGAGCAAAAGGAAAGATATAGATCTGATGTGTTGGAATGAGGTCGGAGATCACGTTTGGTTTCGCAAGTGTCCCCTTAACGGAAGACACAGAAGAAAACAACGGATTCTGCCTCTTACGACATACAATGTTATACAGTAGGTGTATTCTTTCCCAGAACATTCCCAGAGTCTTTCACTTGTTACAATGTCACACTTTTAATTATTTGATTACCTATAGAAATCTTTTCATTGATAACATTGTCATATTTTTTTATTATTTAATAACCTTTACATGGACTTTCTCTTGTTACAGTGTCACCCCACTGTTAACTTTAATGGGCCTTACACTTGTAACAGTGTTCCACCTATGACCACCAGTTAACGTTTAAGGGACCGTACGTTTATGATAACGGAATAGACATGCAAACATGGTTCCACAGAATATTGCATAATTTTACAGTAATGATTATCATGTAGCTTCAGAAGATTTCACACTTATAACAATGTCTTACTAATGACTAGCAGGTAACATTTAAGGGACCTTACTAGTGTGACAATATAATAGACATGTAAACATGGCTCCAAAGACGACCTTATGCATTGTTGATCTTTAAAAATGTCTCAACATATTTTGACTAGAATGGTAAATATAACCCGTCAAATGACACTTGCGACTTGATCATTGAGAAACAGACGCATGACCTGTATTATGTTTAAACGAGAGAAGTTTCATATACATACCAATATATGTTGTGCCCTGTCTTTTTTAAGAAGTCTTACGATGTCATTGTAATTCCGTTCCGTGGCCAGAGCGAGGGCATCATTTCCGTCCTAGGGAAGAAATGATGTCGTTCACGTTAATAAAAAGTGAGACGATCTTGACGTCATTGACAATATGTATAGACAATACTACATACACAGTATTCCACATTTTGTTCAATAGGTTAACGACTAGAAATTTCTGAAACAATACATTAAGAAAACAATGTTATATTGAAATGCCCAAAATTATTTGATAAATATTTCAATTGAAAATCATGTGATATTTTACTAGTATTTAAGTACTGACTAGGTCCTTGTATGTGGAAAGGGCGCCCCATCTGACGAGAGCAGCGACAATGTTGTTCATCTGTCCACTCAACCTCAATGGCCGACTCTTTACACACAGGTTCAAGGCTGTATCACCCTCCTAGTTACAACAAACAATGACGTCATGGGTCAGCAAAATAGTCATTTGTATGCGCTTTTGACCACAATGGGAAGAGGACAGAAGGTAGTCAAGTGTATTTAGGTAAGAAATACATAGAAATTGCACCATACATCATTCGTATCAACTCTTCCTCAACGCTTGTTCAGATATCACAAATATCAATTAGACCTTACAAATAAAAATTGATGATGAAAATTAAAACTTTATAAGTGTGTACCCATAATAAATTATTATTTCGATAGTTCCACCATGGTGTACCTATGATATACGTAAATCAAGGGCCATAACTATTTTTTTTATTCCAATGAAAACAGTTTATGATCTTCCAGGCACAACTTATATGCTAGGTAAGGTATGTGTAGGGTTTCATTTAAAGTTATTAATTGGAGTGTTTGCGAAGGAGTAAAACAAACAAACATCGGATCTGTTCACAGACAATAACGGGGGGAAATCAAAAAACAATTAAGTCGGGCAAATAAATTGAGAATACGTATCAAGCCATACTAACAAAAAATGGTTGTTCATTATAAAATATTTAACACATATTAGTCCTTTTCCTTAATTTAAATGGGCTTCTGTAAAGATATTCAAACACCAGTATTGTTTTCGTAATGATATAGCTACTTTCATTGTGTAGGACAGTTAATACTGAATTGTTAAATTAATGGAAAGGAATATTAAAAGGTGCATACATAATTTAAAGTATAATCGACATGGTCTAACTGAGCTACCTCTGAAACGTTTCCGTCCTACTAACCTCAACCTCGAAATAGTGAATACCGAATTACTCTCACATATGTTAGCAATAGTGTACACGCAACGACGGTTAAGTAGGATTCCACTGTATGCGTTTTGATTTATTTATAGTGTATATCAGTGTATTAATACTCACAAAATCCAGAGTACGATTCTGTGTATGCGTTTTTATTTATTCATATTGTTTATTCGTGTATTGGTACTCACAGAGTCAGTAATGTTGAGGTCAGCCTTCTTCTGGTGCATGGCCGTCACTAGAGGCATGGGCGGAAGTTCGTACACTGTGAACACGTAGTGGATAGCAGCACAGCCATGCTGTAGGATACAAAGTTGTAAAGATAACGCTACACGAACATTAATCTCACTTATATTTGACATCAGGTGAAGCCACATGTACATATAGTAGTCATTACATCCACGGGAACGTTTTAAAAATCAATTTATACGAAAATCAATTTATACGAATAATATACGAATAATATTTTCTAAAATAGGATTCCAAACAAGCAATTTTAAACAGTAATGCTTTCTATGTATAATCTTACTTCCTCTCTTTGTTCCCCGTTTTCATAAATATAAAATTGAACCCTTTTGACCCCGGCACTTTTATTGCCAAATTAAGTTAAACGTCAATGTATCCTTAGCTGGTATTTGGTCTTGCCCCTGTCCCACGGGGGAGCACTTTTATTTACATTTTCTTTTACATAAAAATGAAATCCTTGAATAAGATATGCTTTAAACTTAAGTCAGTTAAAATCAATGTGTGAATTAGTTCTAAATGTCTGGTCTCCTTATGATTTACATTTCACCCTTATTTCTCTTGTTGTGACCCACCTTCTAAGCTATATAACATAGATTACTATCCAATTCTTTGTGACATGACTAGTGATGAAACGATTTATCCCTGTTTCCCAATTGGATCCTTCCTGTATGTCTTCACATTTATGTATTTAAAGAAAATGTTAAACCCCTATACCAAATATGTTTCATATTAGATTTAACTTTAAGTTGTCGACATCGGTGAACCCGTTCTTTTGTAGTGTTCTTTAATAGATTTATTTATATCTACCGCATGGTCTTCCCTTTCTCCAAGAAAGGTTAATTCCTTCATTCCTTACACAATACCATCGTCATGACTAACGGATGGTCTATTCCAAATATGTTTTATTTTCTTTTTCAGTTGCATGCATAACTGCCAAAACCTAAATGAAGTTAAAACACATCTACTAGAAATAAAACTAAAGATGCTAATAGAAATCCTGACTCAAAGTAAAACACATTTAAAGACCCCAAAGACGTTATATCGTAGAATTAACGCACTACCGATATACTTACGTCATTCAGTATATTACAGTTAGCTCCCTTGTTAACACTGAGAATGGCATCTTCTTCGTCGTTGTTCAAAATGGCAGCCATCAGTCGTTTCTGGAAATATATTTCATTAGTAGTGCATGGACCTCAACACACGAACAGAAGAGCGAAACCTTGAAATTGTTTTTTTTTCTCTCACCGAACTTGTTTTTTCGTACTTTTATAGTTTAAACGAAATATCCAACCGATTATTACAATACTTTTCTGATATTATCTTGTTCAATAAAATGTATAGAAACTGTCATTTCGATATTTAGATGGACATTGTCAGTGAATGCCATTCTATGAATAAAATGTATCTAAAACAATTCACACTGACGTTTTGAATTGGACATCCATAGTTTTACCATTAGCAGAGGATGCATAGCTGATTTTTTTTCCAGATTTTAGAAATACGAAAAAAAGGCACCTTATAGTAAACAAAAAATATATAAAATGTCAACAGGGAATTTTAGTGACAATAAGAGGATTAAATAAATCAACCTATACCAATATTTCTTGTTAGCCAAGATGGTAGTGCAATACGCATTAATTCTTGCTTGAGCGACCGCATGTAACACAACATCCTCGATACTCCAGGAATTACGCTCACTTTTGCTGTCTACACCCCTGGAATATGTCATAGCAAAATCGAAGGCTTATTCTGCGGTACCTTGTGGATGACACGAGAAGACTAGTTTGATCCTTTGATGTACATCAAAAAAATCTCGCGGTGGCATAACGGTAAAACTTACTGGCTTTGAAGTCGGGTGTCGCTGCTCTGTAATTTTCAAAGGAAATGTATCAGCCTAGTGATTGGTCAGGATTTTTTACCTGACACCAATCAAATAGCTAGCAGCGTGTGCCTTCGTTTTCGCTATGATATATTCCTGGGGTGCAGGGAGCGAAAGTAAGCGTAACCCCTAGATATCGAGAATGGTAACGCATTGAACACATATAAGTGATTCCTGGTGTTCTTTTGAGAGTATGCTCCTAGTCCATACCTCCATGATTAAGAGTCTCTATCTAACTTTCATCTATACATGCTCCACAGAATGGATGAATCTGTTTCCCTGTCCCACTAAAGGTTATACTCACTCCGTATATGACGCCGACAGACCTGCCGTACAAAGCCCGAGCGTCTGCTGGCATCATTGTCCCATCCACACACGACGCAATGTCAAAATACTCCCTGGCCACAGCAATGTCGTATGCCGTACGTAAATGCTGACAGAAAAATGACATGAAATGATGCTGATAAAAAGTTGAAAAATGCATCGTTACATAATACTGATTTCATTGGCGTGGGCATTTTGTTTGTTTAGGGTTAAACTCCCTTGCAAGAGCTGCGGTCTAGTGTGAATAGTATGCTTATGATTCATGTTTAAGTGGACGCGAATACTCCATAGATACATTATAGTAAATCTGCAAACAAGACAACAAATCTGAGTTTACAATTTGAGAAAATGACATGACGGTATTGAATATACAAGTAATAAATTAAACAATACTTCATTAATTTCCCTTTGAGTTTCACACACGTATGTACAGGTATACTTTGCCTACCCTGTTTCGCCAATGGACGTCAGGGAAATAGTCGAGCGCGGCCACGACGCCGGGGAAGGCGACGCTGATATGGTTGTGTTTGATTAGGAGGTGAAGGACACTATTATGATCAGACTTGGTTTTGGCGTTCACGTCAGCACCACCCTTCAGGAGGATAGTCAAGATTTCCTCCATCTCATCGTCCCGACCACTCATTGCCGTCACATGTATTGGCGCCAAGCCATTCTGGATTACAAGAGAACCATACATCAAAGAACATTGCAAGGCAAAAACACTTCAGTGATATCAGTGTGTGATTCTCTCTTATCAAGGGAAACGGTAATGGTATTAAACGTCTACTGAAAGAAATATGGAGGTAAAAATGGTTTCTGTATTTTTGAAATAGGAAAATAAAAGTCTCGGATACAAAACAAATGTGTTGTTCCCTCGTGTTTCTTTTTATAACAGATCGGAATAACCCCAGTCGAGTTTTGTCATTAAATGGCGTGTTTCGGTGTCTAATTGGATGTGGTGAGAGAAGCAGAGGGTTGGACTTACCTTGAAGTAAGTGTTGTACATATCGTCCTTATTCCATTCCTTTATTTCGGCTATCGTACCCTGAAGCAGGCAGTCATAAAACTTTTTCTGCAAGGAACAAAATATCACAACATATATTCTCGGTATGTAATACTGGTAATGTAAGCTCTATATAGACTGTTCGACCATATTTCTTACAGATCTAAGCAAAAGAGGGATTCTATAGATAATCACAGCCAATTCCGAGACATCGTATTGGTGGGGAAAAGTAACATTTCCACCGGTATAACTATAAAAAGGGACAGGTGACTGGAGCTGAGTTAGTTTTCAACGAGTATTTTTCCTAAATTAAAGTCACCCATTCGCTAAGTATCAAATGATCACTTTCCAAACATTTTCTACGATGTGGTAAGTATGCATTTTAGAAAGGTTCATATACCACAACCATTGACATGTTAATGTGTGACGTTTCGTTGACTAATACGATATGTACTTTGTCATCTTCTTCAGACAAACATCTTCAGACAAAAATAAATAATGATGACAGAGTGTATACCGTATTTGTCATCGAAACGTCACAATTAAACACTTAACAGGTTGTGCTACATGAACTTTCTACAATACAATGAACACACCTATTCTAAACCCTGATACCACAGTGGTCTTCTCTGGAGGGAGTAACTATGAACCCGATCCTGATACAAAGTACGGTTCCTTCCCATTGGATAGACTGTAACTCCCAGTCCAGATAGTAAGACCATTTCTCCATGAATAAGGAAGAGAACAGCCCCGACTACGACCTTCTGGACAAAATTTCCAGTCTTGACCCTATAGGTCATTGACCATAAACATCTTCTCTTAATGTATATGTGTCCTTCTCTAGTGCCAGAGTGAACTCTAGCTGCCATACTAAGTTCCTTTCTAAATTCTCTAATTAGACATCACCATATATAGCGAGTGGGTAATCAGGAGAAAAATCAAAAGACAGAGATCCACAGTTTTGTAATGGGGGCAGCCTATTAAATTGTCTCTTTTATATGTGTCACAAAGGGAACCACACAGAAGAAAGATACCAGATTCAGATTCAGATTTTATTTCTCCCAGACATACAAAGTATGCTACAAGAGGTCAATGTGTGTCATGTTCATACATACATGGCGGATAACAAAGGCACTAAGGCTACCATGATAAACTTATTACGAACATTCAATAGCTTTTCAAGTTTTTCTAGAAATTTGCTATCATTAAAACTATTACATTACATATAGTAAATAATCCACGCATTTTAATAAGGCTAGGGTAAGTACAGTAGTAACTTCGAATACATAGTTGCCTTATTTGTTTAACAGATACGTGTTCGCACTTAAATAGATAATGATATTCATCACCAATTTCATTAAAACATCGATTACAAGTTTTGTTTTCTTTTGGTATTCCAATCCATCTTCCAGTTTCTATAGGTACGTGTATATTTGAAGTAATGAACTTAACAATAATTTGACTTTCTTTTGGCTTTAGTTTCGCAAGGTAATTTTCAAGTTCAAAATTTGTTTTAAAATTGGAATAGGTAGATCTTCTTGAAGAGCTCTCGATATCGTTAAAACATTTTTGGATAAACTAGTCTCGTAATCTTTGGGGTGAAGTGGGGTTAGGTTTATGACCGTGTGTCCTGACTGAAACAGCACCGTTCCTTCCCCGGGGGTATCACCGTAACCCTAGCCTTGGTGCTAGCAGTTTGTGGTGTACGATCGCCATCAATCATACTCGCTCCTCAGCCGTCAAACGGGACTGTCACTTCTCCAAGTATGGAAACAAACTTGAACTATCAGATCAGGTAGATCTTACAGCAGAGAACCTATGGAAGTAGTACCTGAGAACGGGTGCTGATATTTGATATGTGATTTTGAAGTGTATGGAGAACTGTTTACTAGCTACGTTGACAATAACACCAGTGACGTCAGTCTTATGGTCATATACTCAGTCTATATTTAAATTATCGGAGCTTAGGTCCATGTGTCTGTCTCGAAATACGGAGAGAGATATTTTCATATATGATACGTTTAGAAGTTCCATACCTTTTAATATATTATGTATTTAGTACACCTCCCTTTTGTCGATACAAATACCTTGACTCTGGGTTTTTGGGAGTACGTGATTATATATGGCAACTTCAGAAAAAAAAAAATGATTAAAGAGGATAATTTTGACAATGGCACAAAAAGAGTCGAGAGAACAGTCGATTGCGAGAGGATTTTTTGTTCTCGTTAACCACCGCCCTTCTACCCTGCCTTTTATCGCTTCGACGTCATTTTAGACCGCTCTCGTTTTAGAACATCCTAAAAAGCATCGAATCAATAGTATGGCTATTCTAGAATATATAGCAAACCAACTAAATATATCACATCTAAAGAGTGGGTTGCAGAGGTATTAGAGATATATGAATATGAAATAGCGATATCTCTATGTTCAAATAAAGATATCGTCAAATGTCATTGTTATGTTTAAGAAGATTAAAGGTGGTTAAAGCCTTGTATACCTCTGAAAAAATAGAGATATCTCGAAAAGGATGAGACGTCTTCAAATGAAACATCTCATACCTAGGATTATATGAAATACTGTACCCCTTATTGAGACAGCTCATTAAGTATAGGAGATAAATGTAAAGCTGGTTTTGTTAACCTCGTTTTTACTACCATTTAAGTCTTGAGATTGTTACAAGGACAATAGTTTTGAACATTAGACTTGCGGAGAATATCGATCTGCCATGGTATGACCGCTGATGTTAAAAGCAAGTACAGCCCCCTGGGTCAGCCGTATGATTAGCCAATTAGATTGTGCGCTAAGTTATTCAATGCTGTTCTTATATGTACAGTTCGTATACTCGTATGTATAACATCTATAAACGCAATCTACCTCTCTTTAAAATACAACAAACAGATGAAAACAGATAACAGGTGAACATGTGGACACAGATGAAGTTATGCCTTTATAAAGAGGAGGTAGCTTTGCCTTAGCTAGTTAGGTTATGTAGTCGTTAGGAACAGCAGTATTTGTCACAGCTAGTTAGGGAGTCTTTGCTACAGTTGAGTAAGGTTGCATATGTCACAACTACTAAGGTAAGGTTGTCTTTGCTGCAGTTAGTTAAGGAGGGTTGTATTTGTCCCAGCTATTTAGGGTAGGTTGTCTTTTCTACTGTTAATTAAGGAGGGTTGTATTTTTCACAGCTATTTAGGGTAGGTTGTATTTGCTACTGTTAATTAAGGAGCGTTGTATTTGTCACAGCTATTTAGGGTAGGTTGTCTTTGCTACTGTTAGTTAAGGAGGGTTGTTTTTGTCACAGCTAGTTAGGGTAGGTTGTCTTTGGTACTGTTAATTAAGGAGGGTTGTATTTGTCACAGCTATTTAGGGTAGGTTGTCTTTTGCTGCAGTTAGTTAAGGAGGGTTGTATTTGTCACAGCTAGTTAGGGTAGGTTGTCTTCGCTACTGTTAATTAAGGAGGGTTGCATTTGTCACAGCTATTTAGGGTAGGTTGTCTTTTGCTGCAGTTAGTTAAGGATGGTTGTATTTGTCACAGCTAGTTAAGGTAGGTTGTCTTTGCTACTGTTCATTAAGGAGGGCTGTATTTGTCACAGCTAGTTAGGGAAGGTTGGCTTTGCTCCTGTTAATTAAGGAGGGATGTATTTGTCACAGCTAGTTAGGGCAGGTTGTCTTTGCTACTGTTAGTTAAGGAGGGATGTATTTGTCACAGCTAGTTAAGGTAGGTTGTCTTTGCTACTGTTCATTAAGGAGGGCTGTATTTGTCACAGCTATTTAGGGTAGGATGTCTTTGCTACTGTTAATTAAGGTATGTCGTATTTATCACAGCTAGTTAGGGTACGTTGTCTTTGCTACTGTTAATTAAGGTATGTTGTATTTATCACAGCTATTTAGGGTAGGTTGTCTTCGCTACTGTTAATTAAGGGGGGTTGAATTTGTCACAGCTAGTTAGGGGGTTGTCTTTGCTACTGTTAGTTAAGGAGGGATGTATTTGTCACAGCTAGTTAAGGTAGGTTGTCTTTGCTACTGGTAATTAAGGAGGGTTGTATTTGTCACCGCTAGTTAGGGTAGGTTGTCTTCGCTACTGTTAATTAAGGAGGGATGTATTTGTCACAGCTAGTTAGGGAAGGTTGGCTTTGCTCCTGTTAATTAAGGAGGGATGTATTTGTCACAGCTAGTTAAGGTAGGTTGTCTTTGCTACTGTTAAATAAGGAATGTTGTATTTATCATCGCTAGTTAGGGGAGGTTGTCTTTGCTACATGTAATTAAGGCATGTTGTATTTATCATAGCTAGCTAGGGTAGGTTGTCTTTGCTACTTTTAATTAAGGAGTGTTGTATTTATCACAGCTATTTAGGGTAGGTTGGCTTTGCTATACTTGAGTAAGGAATGTTGTATTTATCACAGCTAGTTAGGGTACGTTGTCTTTGCTACTGTTAATTAAGGCGGGTTGTATTTGTCACAGCTATGTAGGGTAGGTTGTCTTTTGCTGCAGTTAGTTAAGAAAGATTGTATTTGTCACACCTAGCTAGGGTAGGTTGTCTTTGCCCCATGTAATTAAGGACTGTTGTATTTATCACAGCCAGTTAGGGGAGATTGTCTTTGCTACATGTAATTAAGGCATGTTGTATTTATCACAGCCAGTTAGGGAAGATTGTCTTTGCTACATGTAATTAAGGACTGTTGTATTTATCACAGCCAGTTAGGGGAGATTGTCTTTGCTACATGTAATTAAGGAAGGTTGTATTTATCACAGCTATTTAGGTTAGGTTGTCTTTGCTACTGTTCATTAAGGAGGGCTGTATTTGTCACAGCTATTTAGGGTAGGATGTCTTTGCTACTGTTAATTAAGGTATGTCGTATTTATCACAGCTAGTTAGGGTACGTTGTCTTTGCTACTGTTAATTAAGGAATGTTGTATTTTTCACAGCCAGTTAGGGTAGGTTGTCTTTGCTACTTTTAATTAAGGAGTGTTGTATTTATCACAGCTATTTAGGTTAGGTTGTCTTTGCTACTGTTCATTAAGGAGGGCTGTATTTGTCACAGCTAGTTGGGGTAGGTTGTCTTTGCTACTTTTAATTAAGGAGTGTTGTATTTATCACAGCTATTTAGGTTAGGTTGTCTTTGCTACTGTTAGTTAAGGAGGGATGTATTTGTCACAGCTAGTTAGGGCAGGTTGTCTTTGCTACTGTTAGTTAAGGAGGGTTGTTTTTGTCACAGCTAGTTAGGGTAGGTGTATGCGCTACAGTTAGTTAAGGAAGATTATGAACTTAACAGTGTTAATTAAGGTATGTTGTATTTATCACAGCTAGTTAGGGTACGTTGTCTTTGCTACTGTTAATTAAGGTATGTCGTATTTATCACAGCTAGTTAGGGTACGTTGTCTTTGCTACTGTTAATTAAGGAATGTTGTATTTAGCACAGCCAGTTAGGGTAGGTTGTCTTTGGTACTGTTAATTAAGGAGGGTTTTATTTGTCTCAGTTAGTTAGGGTAGGGTGTCTTTGCTACTGTTAATTAAGGTATGTTGTATTTATCACAGCTAGTTAGGGTAGATTGTCTTTGCTGCATGTAATTAAGGAATGTTGTATTTATTATCGCTAGTTAGGGTAGGTTGTCTTCTCTACTGTTAATTAAGGAGGGTTTTATTTGTCTCAGTTAGTTAGGGTAGGGTGTCTTTGCTACTGTTAATTAAGGAGCGTTGTATTTGTCACAGCTAGTTAAGGTAGGTTGTCTTTGCTACTGGTAATTAAGGAGGGTTGGATTTGTCACAGCTAGTTAGGGGGTTGTCTTTGCTACTGTTAGTTAAGGAGGGATGTATTTGTCACAGCTAGTTAAGGTAGGTTGTCTTTGCTACTGGTAATTAAGGAGGGTTGGATTTGTCACAGCTAGTTAGGGGAGGTTGTCTTTGCTACTGTTAATTAAGGAGGGATGTATTTGTCACAGCTAGTTAAGGTAGGTTGTCTTTGCTACTGGTAATTAAGGAGGGTTGTATTTGTCACACCTATTTAGGGTAGGTTGTCTTCGCTACTGTTAGTTAAGGAGGGTTGTTTTTGTCACAGCTAGTTAGGGTAGGTTGGCTTTGCTATAGTTGAGTAAGGAATGTTGTATTTATCATAGCTAGTTAGGGTAGGTTGTCTTTGCTACATGTAATTAAGGAATGTTGTATTTATCACAGCCAGTTAGGGTAGATTGTCTTTGCTACATGTAATTAAGGAATGTTGTATTTATCATCGCTAGTTAGGGTAGGTTGTCTTTGCTACTGTTAATTAAGGAATGTTGTATTTATCACAGCCAGTTAGGGTAGGTTGTCTTTGCTACATGTAATTAAGGAAGGTTGTTTTTGTCACAGCTAGTTAGGGTAGGTTGTCTTTGCTACATTAATTTAAGAAATGTTGTATTTGTCATAGCTAGTACTTCAGGTAGCTTGCCTTTTACTTCAGTTAAGGAAGGTTGTTTTTGTCACAGCTTAGTTAGGGTAAGTTGTCTTTCCTAAAGTTAGTTAAGGAAGGTTGTATTTGTGACAGCTAGCTAGGGTAGGTTGTCTTTGCTACAGTTAGTTAAGGAAGATTGTATTTGTGACAGCTAGCTAGGGTAGGTTGTCTTTGCTACAGTTAGTTAAGGAAGATTGTATTTATCACACCTAGCTACGGTAAGTTGTCTTTTGCTGCAGTTAGTTAAGAAAGATTGTATTTGTCACACCTAGCTAGGGTAGGTTGTCTTTGCTACAGTTAGTAAAGGAAGATTGTACATGTCACAGCTAGTTAGGGTAGGTGTATGCGCTACAGTTAGTTAAGGAAGATTATATTTGTTACAGCTAGCTATGGTAGTTGTCTTTGCTACAGTTTGTTAAGGAAAGTTGTATTTGCCATTGCTAGCAATTGTATTTTGTCTTTTACTTTAGTTAAGGAAGGTTGTAAATATGTCACAGGTATTGAGGGTTGGTTGCCTTCTACCATAGTTATAGTTAGGAAGGGCTTTGTATGTCACAGCGAGTCAGGTTGATGTTATTTTGTCTGCTACACTGATCCATTTTATTTTTTTACAAAAATACAGACTTTTCTAGTAATACAGACACGACAGAATCTTCAGGTCATTTCAGTACACTGCGATATGTATCTTAAGACAGGGCATACTAAGTGAATGCATTATTAATTAAATAACTTGGTTGATGCATGTTTGTGCAATACATGTTTTACAGTGTGCAGCTAGCTCTACTGAGACAAAATATTCGTGTTGTGTCTGGTAAGACTTCACCGACAAATTTATTATTCTTAAGATGCACACTTACTAAACATTGCTGATATGTAAATACCGCATGTGTGTTTGACAAACACACCAGGTGTTATTTGATTCGAACCGTTACACAAGTTAAGATGAAATTCCTGGGTTTTTTGTTTTCTTGAGATTTTTAATCAAATGTTTGTAGGAAACTATACACGTTGTTCAGTCAAAGCTGGAGAGATCGAGATTGGAATTTTAAATCCAATAAAATATTTAAATGTCTTCGTGTATCTAATACATCTTCAGTATGTACGTCTTTTCGTTTGTACATGTTTGCCAATGTCTGGTCACGGGTGTATCCTACTGTAAGGCCATTGTATGTGCGGCGTACGCTATATTCAGTAAGGGGCTTAATTGTTACTTGTAGATATAACAAGATGCATGTAAAACAATAAACATCTAGGTTTGTTGTTGTTTAAGTAACTGTAACAGTGTATCTTTAGTTTATTTTACAGATAATTCTATGAATGTTGGAATGATAAATGAAATAGATATAGGCGTGGTGGGACAGTCCGAAATAATTACGCTTTTTCACTAATTATAAGCCTTTTCACGATATCAGAAATCCCTTTTTGATACACGAAAATAATCGAATTCGTGACATCATGAATAGACTTCCTTGATATCAGTAAAAAGGCAATAATTTATAAGTGCCTTAAATTTTTCTTGTACTGTCAGAACGATCCTAAAACGACATGTGGATAGGCCTATACGTCAGTGTATACAGTCACTTATAAATCCCCCGTGTTCGATACGTTTGTTACATTTAAACCTGGGTCCTGGGGTCTGTGCACGTACTGTCACGTATATACGTACAGCAATATATATACCGGTAGACAATAACAATAGGGGCTCATTTACATACCCAGGTCAGTCGGGTGTTCTACAATAATACAATGGTTTAATTAGCAGACTTGATTTGACATATATTTATAGATAGGTGGTTTGTAATCCGTTTGCTGTATTTATACGGCCCAGATTAGCCTACATACATACACGTCCCCAATACTTACAGTGTAGAATATATATATCAAAATCTAAACTTAAATATACAGTAGCTATAGGATACCTCAAATGTTTATAATTTCTGTATTTGATGACGTAGCTAATTACTTAGCATAACTTGTATGCTATATGTATCCCCTATCCAAAGATATTATGACGGGTTATGATTTGATATTAAGATACTGGTAGGGGTGTCTATGATAGTATGATAGTCCGGGAAGGGGGGGGG